AAAGTGTTTGTTACGTATTTTTGCACTCATGGCAAAGCTACTAAACCTATCAGCCGCCTTCTCTAATTTGGTACTGCTGACCAGAAGGAACCTTACGACCCATGCTAATGGACTTACCGTCACTCTTATAACGCACCCACAGCTTTTAAAGTGCGGGAAATATTTTGTAGTATCGCACGGATTCGAACCCAGCTCGCCAGCTACGAATTACACAGCTTTACCAACCCACGCCCAAAGTACGAAACAGATATGAATATTATTAACAAAATTGTTTATTAATTAAAATAATGATAATTGGTTATGACGAAACTTGTTACGAGACCTTGGTGTGGAAAGTAACCAACCCAGTCAGATAATGATAAACCTAGAGGTAAGAGTTGAGTTATAACATATTATGTGATGTAATAGATCAAATTGGTGGTAAGTGTATCAAAAATGTCAAAGTCGCCTATATTTATATAAATATAATAGTACTGTCTGTTTTATATCCATATAACTACTTCGCAGGGTGTGGATGGATCTTCATTAAAATTGGTACTGAGGTTCATTAGGTCCATACACATTTCCAGTTTTGCATTTTGCAGTTTTTATGGGTTTTTTTTTTACCACCACTTCTCCCCCTGTTGATGGATCTTCACCAAGTTTGGCATGAAGGTTTGTTGGGTCCATGCAAATTCAAAAACAAACAAACAATAAAATTCCATAACAAATACTTAAACCTATTCGTTAAACAAACTAAATGGGTTATTTACATTGTATCGAAACAATTTTGGGGATTCACCACGTCGTTACAATCCATGTCCCTTCGTGCAGCTACGCTCTACCTGACAATAGTGCATCTTGAAAGTAGCTCAGTAGTGTGTGAAACGTTCCGCCATAATGCTGTCGTGTTCAAAGCACACCTTCCTCCTTGCAGGTTTTCCATAGACCATCTAGTGTACGAAAACGACAGTCTCCCAGTTTCAACAGTCCGATGATATAGAAATTTAAAGTAACATGATCGATTTGTCTTCGTATGGAATAGCATTAATATCCATTTTATTCCCAGTTGCTTCAGATACGCGGGGGTTGCACGATATGTTGTGGAAACAATATGTATACACGTGACTTATGTTGCTCTTCGAGACAGAGACTGTTCTTGATTACAGTGTGTATTGTTGCCTCGGGCATATAAACGACTCTTGCCACTGAACTTTTGCTAAACATGCTACAGAAGTTCGAGGATACTCACCTATTCCAAGACGCCGCAATTTGCTTTCCAGGAATGGGGCACGACTTGAGGCAGGTGTCTTTCTAGATAATCCTCTGCCCCAATTTGATCCATATTCCTTTGTTTCCAATGCAATTTAATATAAAGGTTATCGCCATCTTTGAATTCTCAATCCCCGATCTAAACCGTTTTTATAATTTGAGTGTATTAATATTTTGCGTTGAAAGGGGCTGTTACATACCCTTCACAAAAGGATCAGTTATCAGTGGTATCACACTACCTACGTAACGCCAAACAATGTCAAAATGTAGTTCTCATGCATTCCGTTCCACCGCGAATTTATATCTGCTGTGCTTGTAACGTTATTTGCTGACTTGTATATTCAAAACTGTTTAATATTCGTACTCTACCTTCTGTATGAGTTGGATATTAAAACAACACTCATCTTTTCAAGCCATTGGAAAGTGTCTTTCATAATAAACTACTCTAAAATAATATATTTATCATAAACTTTATGATGTTCTATACTCTCATAGATGTCTTATAAGACTATTTTCTTACCTGTCCACTTATTACAAGGTATACTAAAATATTTTACATATCTGTGAACATTGGTTTACTTTCTTTTTCATTTATGTTTTCAGTTGTTTATTACCTCGAAAGTTGGTATACATTTGGATTATGACCTAACTTAGAAGTGATTAGTTTTGAAGGGTCAAGGTCACGAAAATCCAAAAAATCCCTATTTGTTAACATGAGGACTGATTTTTCAGACTATTTTTACTCTATAACTCAGTAAAAAATGATCGGATTTTGATGAAACTTGGTGGACATATGTAGAATATTATTCTTCATTATCATGCCAAAAATGGTTCGTGTCCGTTGATAATGATGGACATACAGACACATTTTCGTATTTTTTGAGAGCCGAATATGATTAACGCTACGTGGCGGAGGGTCGTATATCTGCTATGAAATCTGGTTGTAAATGACACTTCTACATATAAACGTGCAGAAGAAGGTACCTCTTAATGTGGACTCTCAATGTAACCTTGAAATTGGTAAAGATGTAATACGACTCAGTAGTCTTACACTGCTGCTGCTGTTGTTGTTTTAGCGCGGATCTACACAACCGGCTATTTGTGCTCTGTCTACAGCGGGAAATCGAACCTCGAATTTTAGTTTTGTAAGTAAGTAAGCCTACGCTCCAAGGCAAATTGGTTGTAAATATGAACGCTTATAACTAAAAATCTGTTTTCGATACCTGTGGTGGGTAGAGCACAAATAGTTTATTGAGTAGCTTTGCGCTTAACAATAAACAGCAAACTTACCGCTGACCTACACTGACCTTACACTGATAACCTCAATATTTAGTAGTGTTGGTGAGGAAAAGAAGTAGTAAAGTTAATATCAAAATGATTCTAGAATATTCTGTGGTGTCCAATAACGAAAATATGAAATGAAAACAAAGTATGCAATTTGTAGATAATTATTGTCTAAAGATTTATCTTTGTATATGAAATTACTTAAAGGAAGGCCAAGGATGCACATTTTACGGAACCTTTTGCTCGTCATCACTCTGATTAATCAGAATTATGGATCAACAAGTAGCCAAAATAAGGAACTCTGTGACGTTACGTCGTTCCCAGGCATCCTGGACTCTATCACAATTTTATTTTCTCATGTCAAAGAACAACTGCAGGACAAAGGTTAGATTGATAAAAAATAAATCTCTGTGGTGAAAGTTGAGAGATAACCATATAAATATTAACACGTGTTTTTTAACTCTAACAAACCTCCAGTGGCTAGTAATTATATCCAATTGTATCCGAATAATGTAAACCATACATTACACATTACACTGGCCAACAAGTCATTTTCATCAGTTATATATATAGGTGGGCTAGATAGCTCTTGGAACGCTGATTCCAAATCTGTTTTCCTCTAGCACGTGATGAGACCGAAAGGTTATTGCCTTAATTATAATTTAAGTTTTTGTACATTTCTTTTTTCATAAGTGTGTAACTGTATAAATTTACCAAGTGTATGGCGTGTATAACGTTTATGGGAATTATACTGAAAAAATTAATAAAGTTGTAACGTTAACTACCCTAATGTGTGATTATTACCTAAATTGTGCCGAAATTAACACGAGTCATATTTCGATAACTAGGTATGCTAGAAGAAAACCAAAAACAGATTTGGAACCAGCGTGTAAAACTTGTCCAGAAAAGTGTGTTTACATCTTTGATGAGAGAAAAAAGTTCGATTTTGTCGACCAGTGTTACACAACAATGTAAGAAAGTAAATGGATAAGATTTAGTTCTTTTTGTCGACCAGTGTTATAGAACAATGTAAGAAAGTAAATAGATAATATTTAGTTCTTCTTTTTGTCGACCAATGTTATAGAACAATGTAAGAAAGTAAATAGATAAGATTTAGTTCTTCTTTTTGTCGACCAATGTTATAGAACAATGTAAGAAAGTAAATAGATAAGATTTAGTTCTTCTTTTTGTCGACCAATGTTATAGAACAATGTAAGAAAGTAAATAGATAAGATTTAGTTCTTCGTAATGTTGATGAAATTCGTTTTTGTGTTCCTTCTGTTAAGGAAGAAAATTATTAGATATGTTTAGTTATGTCCTACTAATGTTTTTGATGCCTATTCTTAATCATAGATAATGTAACATTATTATTTGGCATAGAGGCCAGTGGAGTAGCTCAACCAATCCTCTCTCCTGAACCAACAGACTGTGCTGATATTCTACTGAGTGGACATCGCTCAAGTGGAGTGTATCGTATTTGGCCAAAGTCTTGGATGACTATAGGGACTTTGAATGTTTACTGTGATATGGAAACTGACGGAGGGGGTTGGACAGTAAGTAGCACCCAGTTAACGATCAACGATTGACTGAAATTTGTTTTTATAACACTTATTATATGAATTAATGTTCTGTATTCTAGTAAAACAAGTCAAATAGTGAGTCTTGTTGACAACGAAGAACCTTAATGGTTAAAACGTAAAATTGGATGATGAAATGCAAGAACTTGTATGTTAACCTAATATAGGATCTCGGACTGTAACATTCACAAAGTTAGGGGAGAGTGGTTATGAGGTGAAAGCAGTAATTTGCTAACCAAACTAAACACAATTTAAAAGTATTCTTATTGCAAGTAGTAATTAATATGCTATTTGTTTCTTGCGTTATCTTAAAAAATTGTATGCTTAACTTTCAGGTTTCAACACATTAATTTTAGTGTTCATGTTGAATTATTTTGAGAGTTTGCCTTTCATTATTCACATTCAACTTATTTCGCCACTCAATACAGATAACATTTGTCTGGGCAAATTGAAATGAACATTGTGTTTAAAATCAGGTAATCCAGAGACGAGGAGATTATGGGAAACCCACTGACTACTTTTACAAATCATGGAAAGATTACAAGCTAGGATTTGGAAACATTGAAAAGGATTTTTGGTTAGGTAAGTTTATTGCAATATTTTTATACCCCATTTTTGCATAACAATAGGGGTAAAAATATGCATATCAACTGCATAAAGCCATTATTTTGAACAAGAACCAATGTCACATAAAAATAATATACTACATCATATAGACTGAGATTCACAAATTCTATCTCTGTCATTCACATTTCCAGGAAACGAAGAAACGCTAATATTTCCTAGTATTTCTTGTTGTTTTTTTAACTGGGTTTATATGCAAATGAAAAATAATTGAATCCCACAAGTAGAATATTTATAGTAATATTATACCCTATTCATAAGGTTCTATCCCGTATTTAATAGTGTGTGTGTGTGCTTCCTACCATGAGAATGGACTAAATTAAAAAATGGAATCAAAGGAAAATAAGCTAAAACATTCTCGAAATATATACTACGAAATTCTAGGAGTGAAGCTGAAGTACCACAACTAGGGATACTTTATTGTCTTTATACATATTTTAAATATCCTGCAATTATGAATTACAAGGAATACTGATTATGATAAACATTTTCTGTGTCCAGGAAATGACCGAATTTTTGCTCTCACGAATCAAAGAAACTATTTGATCAGGTTTGACCTAAAAGACAAAGAAAACAACACACGATACGCCGTTTATCAAGATTTCTGGATAGAAAATGAAAACTATTTTTACCGCCTGCACATTAGTAACTACAGCGGAAATGCAGGTAAGAGTATTTAAATACATATGAAAAACCAAATAATGTTTTTGTAGATTTAAAATAGAGCTGATGCTATACAAAAAAACAAAACAAACAGATTCATGATTTATTTTAACAGAAAAAAAATTGAATTTTCTTAGAGATTTTATTATGCTCTGGCTAAATGCGAAACATTTTGTTTGAACATATCTGTTCAGTTACATTTGTCTCATAAATCATATCGATAACTTATAGAACCCTTTAGCCTACACAAAAAATAGTATCACTAGAAAATAACTTAAGGACTAAATATTATTATTGTTGTATGAATAGATAAAATAATGTAAGTTTTCTATAAAAGATGGTATATTGCAGTCAGTTAACATGAAGAGCACACTTTTCTCGTGGTATTCTCCACATCCATTACCATTGGGTTGACACAAAAGCTACGCTGATAACATTTGACTTAAAACAAAGCCTAAGTTATTGGTTTTTGGCTTCAGCAAAAGGTATGGTTACGGCTTTCAGTTAACACAAGACTAATGTTGGAATCTGTGGACAAATATCACACTGCTTTTATCCAAATAGAAATGAATCTTCACTAAGTCCAGTGACTTTGATTCGTTTGAAATATAACCTCATTTGTTCTAACATTCTAAGCTCTCGTTTAGTACGATTTTTTCTTATTCTCCTGAAATAGTGTATATATTTCCACAAAGTTGCGAGAAACTGGATTCCAAACCTTGATGCTGAATGCTGAATTAACACATTCTACATTGACCGAAAATTAATTCTAATGTATAATATTTGCGTTTTGATCATTTGTTCGTTACAAAAAAGGTAAGAAGATACTTTTCATTTCTCTTGAAGTTGAATTATATTAATCGTGCATCCGACTATTTCAAACATGTACCTTAGCCACAAGGTTTTGTTTTGTTTCCGCGCTTTTTGTTGGTAATTTGTATAAACTGTCAGATTCTAGTTTAGCATATAATTGGCTAATAAAATATTTTCAGTTACTTTTAAACCACTGTTCTATTCAATTCACTAAACAGTTTTGTTAGAATGTTTGAAATTATATAAGTTCTCGTCACTTTTGTTTTCTTTTTTCCACAGGAGACAGTTTCGGACGTCACAATGGACATAATTTCTCCACAAAAGATGAAGACCATGATGCCCATGGGACCCACTGTGCCCAGACGTACAAAGGAGGTTGGTGGTATGATCGCTGTCACGTATCCAACTTGAACGGCCTCTACTTAAATGGGAAACACAGCAGTTATGCCGACGGTATAGAATGGCATGCTTGGAAGGGTTATCACTATTCTCTCTCACAAGTTGACATAAAAATACGGCCAGTTGACTTTAATATTCCTCAAAACTAACGCTTCATTATCATTCAGAGTATTTTGACAACTTGGAATAGTAGAAATTAGATTTTAAGATAAAAATACCCTCAAAAGTAATAAATTACTAATACTAGTTTTGCAATATTATGTATTACATGATTATTGAATATTTTTTGTTTGCAAGAACTTCCCTATATTTTGATTAAAAACAAATAAACGTTTTTTTATCGTTCTTTAGGTTTTGTTAGTAATAAGAAACAAAATATCTACTTCATTGTTTATTTTGCTCTACCTGAGATCAGTTTGTTTAATACTAATTAAGGTACGGTTAAAGATAAACACCCCATCTGGTGATCAAACGAGAACACCACTGTTTTTACTAGTTTTTCGATAAGATTTATTTGCCCTTACAAGAAAACAATAAGTTTCAGTTCCCTCTATGAACATTATAGATACAACTTAGAAATCCAAGTTACAATATTTAATGGATAATCATAAGAAGTTTATACTTGAGTTCTATCACTGAGTATTCCGACTCATTTTAAGGCGTTTGTTATATTTCTAATTATAAATTTAAAATATGCAAGTTTTTACTCAAAAATCACACACTTATCAACTAGAAGAAAAGAGTTTCGGAGTCTTATACATAAGTAAGGTAAGAAAACAATAGAATCCTGTTGGATTTCTAGAGCGGAAACAGATTCATTTCTACTGTATTAGTATGAGTTACTCACTGCAAAGTATACCATATTATTAAACAGTATAATAGGTACGAAAATTACACTATTATACGAACAACCAGATGTTTCTGAAAAGGAATATTTCCGGTGGTTGTTGGAATCACCATTGACGATACTTACTTAGAAAGAACTTTAAATAACAAGACTACATTGAACATAGGTAGAACTGAATAATACAAGTAGTGTTGGAACATTACATTACTGCTCCCAGGTGGCTCAGCTGTAAGCGTTAAACGCTAAAAAATCAGGGTTCGATAACCGCGGTAAAAACGCGTAAATAGCCACTTGTGTAGTTTTATACTTAAATACAAACAAACAACTTACATTATTAGATGTATTTAACATCAGTCAGTTCTTGGTATGTTTAAGCATTTGAGCTTTAAATCAAAATCTTAATCTTGATTATGAATTTAAAAAAAATGAAAGAGAATCCTCAAGCGCATTTATTTTTCAGAATATTTCAGATGACTAAAGTTAATAATAATAAGTAGAGCTTGTGAAAAGTGAATGAAATTTAGAAAGAGATAATTAAATATATGCGAATGAAACTGTACAGTATTTCTGTAAGAAACTCAACAGGTTTCGATAGGAAATAGTATATTGCCCAGAAATTGGTAAATGTTAGAGAAGAAGTATGACATTGTTTCATGCTGCAAATGTTGATGTTTTGATTTCCCAAGAGTAATCAAAACTCTCGTGAGTCTTCTTTATCCTCAAATAACGAGATAGTAATAAAAGCTACATAGGCTGACGTGTACCATAAAATGATGTTTACATTGTGAACAGCGAAAAGAATAAATTTGATAACAAATAAATTCTTTCAAATATGGATGACTACATGAAATATAACGCATTATTTATAGTGATATATTATATGTTGTTTATTGGTAGACAGAAAGAAAGAGAGAGATCATAAGTGAAAGCCTTCTTGATGAGACAGGTTTCATACCACAATATACTATTCAGCCTAAATATATCTTTTTTTCAAAATGCTCAAACTAAACGATATATAAAATGAATATAAAAACGTTATCTGTTAAGCACAAAGATACACAATGGGCTATCTATGCTGTGTACAGCGCAGGTATCGAATCCCAACTTTTAATGTTATAAGCCCTCGTGCTCATCGCTGAGCCAATGGAGCAAAATACAGAGTAATTAGCTTACAAATCCTTTAGAATTAAATAAAAATCCAGTTTCAAACTCATTTCTGTAAAAAAAAGGGATCTACAAATCGTCAAAAGTTTATTTCCTAAAATCATAAAAGGAACAGTGTTAAAGAAATATATAACTTTATAAAAAAACACACATTTGGATATCATTAAAAACGAGAGAAAATGTATAAGGTGAATTGATCCTTTATTTTATCCGTGGCCTCCATTTGCTAATTAGCAACTACTCTTTAATAAGCAATTAAAAGAAACCCGAGAATGCAAGATGGCCTTCCTTTATTAAAGCTGAAATGGGAACGAATACTTCAAATATGAAGTCTTCAGTGACGTCATCGTGTTTCTATAGTTTGTCACCCTGAGAAAACGGAAGTGTGTGTGCATGTTGTTTGTAGTAGAATGTGTGGAGTGAGTAGCAAATGTGAGAGTAATGTTCAGTGCACAGTAAGAAAAGAATAAAAATATTGAAGAAGAGGAAGCAATATTTTTTTATCTCAGTGTTTTCTTTTTTTCTAGTTTCACCATTCTATTGGTTACTTTTATTTTGCCCCTCGGTAGCTCAATAGTAAATCTGAGGGATTGTAACGCTAAATATCGGTTTTCGATACCCGAGGTGGGCAGAGCACAGATAGCCCTTTGTGTAGCTTTGTGCGTAACAACAAAGATCTCTCGAATTTTTCAACGAACTTTATTTTCTTAATAGTTCACAGCTCTGCAATCTGCGGGTCACGGGATTTATACCTGTCGCCGACCATGTTATCCCTTTCAGCTATGTGAGCGTTATAATGTCACGATGAATCACAATAATTTGCGGTGAGTGGTATTGACTAGCTGCCTTCCCTCTTGTCTATCATTTTAAAATTAGGGAAAGCTAGCAGCAGATAATTCTCGAGTAACTCGGCGCGAAATTCAACAGATAAACTTTTTAAATCAAGAGACAACATGATAGTTCAAGTTGAACTTCGTAAAATATGCGCTATCAACGTATATAGTGAAAACAGCTTTCACGATAATCTTCCCTGTCATTTTGTGCTCAGTGTCTTCACTAACATCAGTGGTGTTTCGCGTTCGTAAAAATAGTTAAAACTAGTCGAATGTAGAGCATAAATACATTTCAAACATGTTGTCGCTCTAACCACTTTCTATAGGAAAGCCAGGTCACATCATGCCATAAAATAATCTACTTTTTATAACTGTCAGATTTGTCCAGGTATAACAGACAGGCTGCGAACTTGGAACCCTCCAATTCATAGTTGTGATATTAACTTAGTATATGGCTCCAACATCGTTCAAATGCTTTGGGGTTTTTCCTGGACTATTTCCTAGAAAGGTGGCCGAAGGCCGCCTGGATGGATAACCTGTTTTAACCGCTCGCACCACTATACAGTAGTGTGATGTCAGTCAGTCAGTCAGTAGACACTAAAATGACGTCACTTAAGGGACGCTTAACGTTGCAATTTGTACTGTTATGACGTCAGTAAAACATGCGCATGCCATGAATCACGAGAACAATTATACACTCTGTAGACTACAACTCAGCATGACATACGAACTTCAAAAGCAAGAAATAAAAATATTTGTACTATTAATTTTGGTTAAATTTACTCTTGAAACAGAACACTTTCGGGGACCCTGTCTAGATCTTTTACTATCTACCAGAATGTACACATTCTCTAATAATAGACCGAATAAACTCAGCAGTACGATCAAACCTACATATGTTTCAGAAAGACAAGTTGCTTGATCTCAAATGTTACATAAATAATTATCTTACTCAAATCAATTCTTCTGCTAATACAATATCTCACAAAATGACTCAATAATCAACACTCCACTACATTTTTATGAGACCTTTATTTTTAATAGTCTCGAAATACACATTGAAGTTAATACCAGAGAAGGTATTAAACGTGATAACTTTATTGTGCATTTTTTTTAGTTTATTGCAGGAATTTAGGAGTTAATATCTGAGGTGTTTGGAGAGTAGACAATTTCACTGCGCCCCGCTCGGTGTAGAAGATACTACATCGCTATAACGAGTAAAAAATGAATGAAAATAACATAAGAATAAAATTATAAAAGTAAAGGCCAACTAAAATAAAGTTTCGTATACACATACGTATATACATACGCATGCACTTACGCCCAGTTGATGATATTGACCAAATCCTTATCTCACTGTTGATAGCACGCGATAAATTTAAACATACAGCAGCAACTAAACATAACATACTTTTAACTATAAGAAGTGATTTTACAATGTTTCAACAAATCGTTATTTAATCATTACATTCATATTTATTATGATTAATAAACATAATACTTAAAGCATAATAACATATCGATGGCTAGAGATAATAAAGACATTTAGCATAACGTTTGGCTGTACAAACATACAAATATTAACACCATTATTTTGATTGTTTCTTTAAGTATAAGGCAACACAGTGAGCTAGTTACTTGTGCAGTGCCAACCGCAAGCATCGAAACCCAATTTTTAGCGTAACAAACCACAAGATTTACTCCTGAGCCACTAGGGGTATTATTTTGAATAGAAATATAAATAAATTTCATATTCAATAAAGGAGACTCTGTGCCCTTACTGTTCCTTCCTCTATGCAAGTTTGTTAACGAGTTCAAAATGCAGAAGAATATAGAAATATCTTTGAGAATAATAACCACGGTAACCTGAGCTTTAATCGATTTGAACGAATTTTTTAGTTGTTCGCGAAAAAAAGTCAACATGATTACTCCTTTTCAAAATACTACTTTATAGTTATGTAGATTTGTAGTTTCAATATTGTTCATTCTAAGTTTTATATATAACATTAGTGATATGAAATATATAACTTTAAAAGAAGATTAAACCCTTTTCTATCCCATGGACAAACTAACACTTGCCAAACGAAGTTAAACAAGGCTAAGCTATTGGTCTTTCTTGCGTAATGATGGCACTTTTCCAGAAAGAAATATCAGCCTAACCAACCTGTCATTTCTGCTACAAAATGTATTCATCTGATTAAAAGAAATAAATGCTGTTTCAGCAAACGTCTTCCAGCACATGCCTAGAGCACGTTTCTTAAAGTAAGCTATTTTAAATATATTTTGGAACATAAAACATTGACCTGTTACATCATTACTATGCAATAAACATGTTGTAAGCAAGAACAACGTGGCATGCAACTTCTGTTTATTCACTGAAAGTATCCGTTCCTATCCGATTCTTTATTTCAATAACATACCAACCTCGATGTTATTTTAATAGATTAATTAATCATAACAAATATGAAATTTGATTAACACATATGGAGA